TTCAGATGCACAGTGCAGAGGGGGCGTTAGAGTCAGCAGAAAGGAAGTTGGTTAAAGTGCTCTGTTGTCCTAGGCAGGGGTAGGCAACCTAAGGCCCGGGGGCCGGATGCGGCCCAATCACCTTATAAATCCGGCCTGCAGATGGTCTGGGAATCAGCGTGTTTTTACATGAGTAGAATGTGTCCTTTTATTTAAAATGCATCTCTGGGTTATTTGTGGGGCATAGGAATTCGTTCATTATTTTTTTCCAAAATATAGTCCAGCCTATCACATGGTCTGAGGGACGGTGGACCAGCCCATGGCTGAAAAAGGTTGCTGACCCCTGTCCTAGGGCAACAAACCCAGTTTCAGCAGGAACTTAAACCTGGGTCTCAGCAGACTTAACTTGACACTCAAACCACTACACCATACTAGAATATTATATTTTTGTGTATTCTAGAATATATTTATATTCTAGCTCCACTTGCTACTCCTGCCTACCCTTTTGTCAACCAACCCACTTGACACCTCCTGCCCCCCACTTCTCCCCCAAAAGCTGGCCCCAAGCCCCACCCTCATTTAAAAGGGAGAAGGGGCTTCCCAGAGCAGCGTGCTCAACCCTTGGTGAAGCTCCTCTTCCCCCCTCCATTAAACCCCACTGCAGACAGTCTTTGGGCTGCTGGGATGGGGAGGAGCTTCTCTGCAGAGTCTGCCTGTGAGCCCCAGGTGGGCTGGGCGGGGGCTCCTGCTGGGTTGCCTTTGGGCCCAGTGAGGGCAGAAGTTGCGCAGCAACAGCCTCAGAGCCCAGCCATTTTCATAGGAATTGATGGCTACCCCTGCACTTCACAGAGCAGGTTGCTAAAGGGCTCTGTGACGCTCCTTTCCCCTCTCTGTTCAACCTTGCTGCAGCCACATTTAAGGGGGGGGGGCCTCAACCGCTGTGTGAGGTGCCTCTCCCTCCGTTAATCCACACTGCCCCTAGTGGAGGCAGGAGGCACTTCACATTGTCTCCCTCTCCGCTAAACAGCTTGCCTAGGCCTGTCCGTCATTCCTCACACTGACTCCTATCAGCCACTATGGATGCATTTGACATCTGGGGGCAAAGTGATTGTGGAGTGGGGGTGTTAGGAACATAGGAAGCTGTCTCCTACTGAGTCAGACCATTGGTCCTTCGCAGTGCTTTTTTTCTAAAAAAATGTTTACGGGTACTCTCATTTTGACTCATGAAAAACACCATTTTATAGTTCAAATCAGGGGCAATAAATACAGTAAATGGACAAAAGTACAAAGATTCACAAATGTTTAGGGGTATGCGTCCCCCCAGAAAAAAGGCACTGGTCCATCTAGTTCAGTACTGTCTCCTGGTTTTCAGACAAGGGACATTCCCAGCCCTACCAAGAGATACCAGGGACTGAACCTGGGACCATCTCATGGAAGGCATGAGCTACAGTCCTTGCCAGCAGATCTCTCATCAGCTCTGCAAGTGGTTCTCACTCTTTGTACAGGCTGACCTACACATTCTCAACCACTTTTCAGCTCCAAAACTAAACACATGTCCGTAGAAACTGCACAAATATTACCCCCCTTTCTTTCTATCTTGCTCCTCTAGGATGCCCCCTTCCCTCAAGGTCTTCGGATGCAGCTGCCTCGTAAGCCACTGGAATGTGTCCTTGCTGAAGGAAGCTGGGAATGTCAACATTCCTCAGCACAGCTGCCAGGGAAAGGAAAACAGTACATTCTGTAGTTGCTTTAGCTGATTTGGTGCCGTGGCTAGATAAAGCCTTTTTGTGAGCCAAGTTCCTATCGCAGATATTAATATTGCACAGTTTAAAGAGACTGGATGCATTAAAACTGACTCCTTTTGGAAATGAAGCATTGTCCAGACCCATCCAATTGTTCAACTTTTTACTTGAAGAACTTTCTCCAAAACATAACAGAAACATCAAAGATACATCCAAATAACACATGCTTATCCAAGCATAGGCTCAGCATCATCTCAGAAATAAAATAACTTATAATCAGAGCTTACAAACATAGCTCTCTCTCTCTCTCTCTCTCTCTCTCTCACACACACACACACACACACACACACACAGAGGCTTCATTGCCTGCATTCCAGCCCCCCAGGCTGTTGAGCTCCTGGAGAGCCATTTACATGCCCTTATTCCATGGAGCCTGGGAACAAAGAACCAAAGGCAACTCCCTTCAAAATGGCGACTTACCATTCAATACCTTAATCACTTGATCTAAGGTTAAACACTCATGTGTTAGCTAGCAGAAAACAACAATGCAGTGATACCTTGGGTTAAGAACTTATTTCGTTCTGGAGGTCCATTCTTAACCTGAAACTGTTCTTAACCTGATTTTTCTTGTATTTTTCTTGCCTATTGCATTGCATTGCATTGCATTGCACTGAACTGCATTACAATTGGAATTCTATGGAATTCAATTTGTAATACAATAAAATACAATATATAAGAAATAAACAAAAAAATTGTACAGCATCCAGCATGGCACATTACAAGCGATGTGTGTGTGGAATTATTAAGTGGTCCTCCAAGAGCCTCAGCCATTTTCAAGTGGTCTGTGGCATAGGAGTTTGGGAACCACTGTGCTAAACTAGCCTTGAGGAAGGCATCAAAGCTGGAACACTCCTGTTTGCGGATGATGGCGTACTGCAACATTTTGTTGCATATCTCATGTTATTATATATATATATATATAATAATGAAAAATATATTTGAAAAATGAATTTGTAAATTCAACACCCTGCCCTATGTGCCTTTATTGTCTCAAGAAGGTTGGTCATCCTCCTTTAGGCCATCATTTTAAAATGATTTATAAAACATCTGCAGATTGTGCTGCTTTTGTTGTTGCTGCCAGAATGATCGGAAGAGACTCCTCTCACAGGTTTGCTCCTCTTCCTTACAAATCCAGGGAACCAAATACAAACCTTTGACATGGAAATGAGTTACGCAAAAGGGAGCCATTGCCCATCCTCCTTGCCTATTATTGCATGACCCCATTTTAAAAACACTTTGTCAAGGAAGTAGCAGTTTGTCTGCTAGTTTAATAACTACCCAGGAACAAAGCCAAGAGCATCAACTAAATTGTAGCAATGTTTACAGTAATGAGGCCTCTACTCCACACCACAATTACAGACCCCGTATTGCTTTATAGCTGGAGGCCCATAAACTAGTAGCTCATAAGTAGGATTATTGCAACTGCTCTGTGATAGTGCCCTGGGGTTTGGGGGAAATTCATCATATGGGGCTCGGGGGAAGGAAGGCAGCAGGCAGGAGCTGCACACCACAGCCATTACATTAAGTTAGCACACACCTGTCATCAGGACTATAGCCTTCCTCGGACTGTAGGGCTCCATGAAAGGATGCTAATTCACCTGCTGATCCTAAAGAGGTTCTTTGGAAATACAGTGGTACCTCGGGTTAAGTACTTAATTCGTTCCGGAGGGCCGTTCTTAACCTGAAACTGTTCTTAACCTGAAGCACCACGTTAGCTAATGGGGCCTCCTGCTGCCGCCGCCACGCCGGAACACGATTTCTGTTCTCATCCTGAAGCAAAGTTCTTAACCTGAAGCACTATTTCTGGGTTAGCGGAGTCTTTAACCTGAAGAGTATGTAAACTGAAGCATATGTAACCTGAGGTACCACTGTAAATGTAACTTCCCTGTCCTCTCTGAGGGAGCAAACCTCTCTCTAGAGTCTAGACTGTGCCCCTTTCAAGTTGCCGGTGTGAGTGAATTGATCCTGGGAATTGTAGTTAAAGGTGCTGAGGGTTGTTAGGAGTCCCCAATTCCCCTCCGAGAGCTACAGTGCCAGAGCGGTTTAACAATAAGTTCTTCTTCCCAGGGAACTCTGAGAATTGTAGCTCTGGAAGGCAAATAGGGGCGTTTCTAACAACTCACAGCGCCCTTAACAAACTTCAGCTCCCAGAATTCTATACCCAACATTCCTCAGGTGAAAAGAGGGACATTTCTCACTCCCCCAAACTGACACTTCTCAACCCCCCATTTTTTGTGTCCCCTCCCCCCAAGCATATCCACCACCACAACACCAATGGGACACAGCACAAGCACCCCCCACCATTCTGATAAAACCCCTTGATCCCTATTTTATTTTATTCTTTGGTAGATTTACAAAAAGATAAACACACATCAGTAAAGGAATTTTAGAAAGGGGAAATATAAGAAAGCTCCCTCTTTCTTCTCAGCCAGGCTGGGCCCTGCCTTCTGCCTGGACCCCAGAGCTGCCGCTGCCATCATCGCTGTTGCTCAGGACAAGTTCCTCCTCCTCCCTGAGCGCTGGTGGGGGAAATAGGGACATCTGGGGTCAACTCAGAAGCTGGGATGGCTTTCATAATTCCAGGAATGTCCCTGGAAAATCGGGGTACCTGGAGGGTATAGAATTCTTTGGGGGAAGCCATGACTGACGTGGCATCATGGGGCTTGAAAGGTATGGATGTGGCCTCTGTCAGGGGCTGGTTACTGAATTCAAGACCTGACAGGTGCTCTGGTATTTATAGGGGCCCAACCAGAGGATAACATGGCCTGCCAACCTCAGGGGCTGATGTTGCTTTCCATGCCAGTCTTCAGCACTTATAAAATGAGGTCAGTTTAATTATTCTTTATAGAAGATAGGATCCAACCAAGATCCACTGGATGGGATCCACCAAACTGTCTCCACACAAAGGATCTTGGGTTTGGATTGCACTGTTTAATAGGCTGCTCACTGACCTCTGTGCAAATGCAGCAAGATGAAAATGGAGAAAGAATCAAAGGAGCAGAGTCAGAATCATGCCAAAAGGGGGGGGGGGGGAGCAACCACAAATCAGCCTCAGTCAGAGCAGAAATGTGGAGGAATTTGCTGATCTCACCAACTCTTCTTAGTCACTGTGATTAGCAGTCAGCTCTATTGTTCTACATGAGAGTAGCGATAGATGTTGCCATGGTTTGCGGAAGGGGTATCCATGGCAATGCTTCTATGCAGCCCACCAGACGTGGGTGTTACCTGTGCTATGGATGAGTGTATAAATATCAGTTTACCTGAAGGTGGTGACCCATGGTTGCCATGGAACCCACAAGAGCATCTTCTCTGGAGAGGGGGTTGTCATAGAAACAGTGCTGTCTCTATGGCAACAGTGCATCATTATTTCCCCTCTTTCAACTGAAATATGTTTAAAGAACCTGTTGAGGAAAGTATGTGCATTTATTGGAAGTAAGAGCCAATATCCAGGCCTGGTATGAAATATTAGGGAGGCTGATGTGCAAACCCGCTGAAGAGATGCATTTGTTTCTTCTTTGCATTTCAGAGATACTGTAGATCAGGGGTTCCCAGCCGGCTGTCCATGGACCACCAGGGTCTGCCTGCAGCATGTCTGTGAAGAACCAGGGCTGTGGTTGTGAATGGTGGCAGTGGCAACAGCAACTACAGCTGCTCCAGGATGGACCGGAAGTGATGGGCAGGAGGAAGTGGCCTGAAAAGGGTCAAAAACACATTGCACCTCATGTATTACAATCTGAATTCTTGGGACTCAAATTGTATTACAAAAACCATATAGCATATAACACAGTGCATTACCATTGCTACCGTAGGCTGATGAATCATTAAGTCGTCCGCCACGACCCTCAGCAATTTTTGAGTGGTCCATGGGAGAAAAGGTTTGGGCATCACTGCTGAAGGTGGAACCAGATATGAGAAAATTGGCTCCAGTTGTCCTTTACTCACCTCCCTTGCCAGCCCTTTGGTGTAGGACCTCAGAAGCCTCCTGTTCTCACTTCCCCAATCAAAGAATGTGTTGTGTAGATAAGGCCTTATCCAAGCTGAGGGATACTGGCACTGTGACCTAACCCAGGCCTTGCTTCCCCTTTCTGGGCTGTGACTGTGCAAGATTTTCCCTTTAAATCCATCTGTAATGCTGATGTAATCCTGACCTTGGCTGCAAAGTACAGTACTTATCTGCGACAGGTGGTATTCAGCTAAGTGTGAATCAGAGAATGCATACTTCCAGGGATTATTCCTCTTTGCCCCTCTGCCACCCTTAAAAAATTCAAAATTCTCTGACCTTCATGTCAGCAAACTTTGTGGTGTTTCCATCTTGCATCTTAATACAATACTCTGTGGGAACCAGATACTGTTGCACAAACACCCTGCTCTTCACAGCTCCATGTCACATTCTGTGGGAGCAACAGAGATTTGAATTCTCATGCCCACCTCAGGACTGGGCCAGAGAGTATGAATCCTCTTTTCCACTGTGGGCCATCAAACATTTTAAAAAGAAAAGTTTAGTTGGTTAATAAAGACAATCTTTCATAATTTCTCTTTTAAATTCCATATTATAGTAATAAAAGTGGGGCTGCAAGAAAATGTTGCTATGTCTAGCACTCCTGCTCAGAGTTCCAGTCAGCCAGCAGACCATGCAGTCTTACAGAATACTCCATTCCACTGCACTCCCCCAGTTTCCAGGTTTCTCCTAAACAGACACGTGACAGGCTTTTAGCAGGAAGTTATGGAACATGCACTAGTGGGAAGCAAAGCAGTAAGACCACCCCAAATATTCTGCAGGCACAAATGGCATTGAAAGCATGATGATGTGTAACAGCCCGAAAAACATCATGAGCCCAAATCATGATGAATGTGCAATAAAAACGACATCTCGAAGGACCCTCTGAGCAGAGAAATATTAGATGCTATGAGAAAAATACAAGCCTAATTTGGGGATAATAAACTAATGAGTGTAAATCTGAAGACTGGCGCTCTCCTGCAACGTATGTTTAAATTGCAGTGGGTTAAAAAACAAATACCGTATTTTTCGTTCCATAGGACGCTCCGTCCGATAGGACGCACCTACTTTTTTGGGGGGGGAATAAAGGAAAAAAATTTTTCCTTTATTTCCCCCTCAAAACCAGGTTGGGGAACAGTGGGATGGCGGCGCTGCGCCTCCCCGCTGTCCCCCGAGCTTGTGGGGCTGGCCAATGTCTGCCCGGCGCGAGGGACGCTCTGCTTCAGGGCGCCCCGCGCGTCGGGCGGCAGGCTGCTATCTGCAGCGTGGGGAGCCCTGCGGGAACTCCCGCAGGGCTCCCCGCGCTGCGGATGTCTGCCCGGCGCGATGGGTGCTCTGCTTCAGGGCGCCCCACGCACCTGGCGGCAGGCTGCGGAAACCTGCGCGAAGCACGGGGCGTCCTCCGAAGGGCGTCCCGTGCTCCGCACTGCAGGCTGCTGCCCACAAGCCTTGTGCGCCCGGGGGGAGTTCCCCCGGGCGCGCAAGGCTTGCAGACACCTGCGTGACGCACGGGGCGTCCTCCGGACAGCGCCCCGTGCTCCGCACTGCAGGCTGTCACCCGCAAGCCTTGCGCTCCCGGGGGGAGTTCCCCCCAGTGCGCAAGGCTTGCTGACACCTGCATGAAGCACGGGGCGTCCTCCAGAGGGCGCCCCGTGCTCCGCGCTGCAGGCTGCCGCCTGCAAGCCTTGCGCGCCCGGGGGAACTCCCCCCGGGTGCGCAAGGCTTGCGGATAGCTTCCTGGAGCCTGGAGAGCGAGAGGTGTCGGTGCGCACCGACGCCTCTCGCTCTCCAGGCTTCAGCGAAAGCCTGCATTCGCCCCATAGGACGCACACACATTTCCCCTTCATTTTTGGAGGGGAAAAAGTGCGTCCTATAGGGCGAAAAATACGGTAAATCCCAGAGCATTGCTTAGCAACAGATCCCCTGATAACAGCAAATCACTCTGGAAGAAAACTCAGCTGGGTCGGCCCTTCCATTAGGCAGAATGTGGTGGCTGCCACAGGCATCAGGCACTGGATGGAGGTGAGGAGCAGTGGTGGTGCTGGAGGACAGAGCTCTGTGTGCCACACGGCCGACCCTCAGCAAGCCTGCTGGGACCTCAGGTGGAATCCCGCTGGCAGTCTTTCCATTTTGCTTGTATTGTTTATTTCCAAATGCAAGAGGGGGGGACACCAAGCAAACTGGCAGGTGACATTATCAATAAAAACGTTCCATCAACTCCAGTATAAAAGTATAGATTAATACATGCAGTCCTTATGTCCAAATAGGTATCTAAATGAGACTGGTGATTATAAGCAGTAGCAGCTGATGAGTGTTTGCCCTTCCAGGTTAGTTTCTTTTTATATATATATATAAATTTTATTTTAAAGGTTTTTACATACATTATTATTTGCATTAGTCCACAAACCATCTCAGTATCTTTATGGGGGTTCTTCCAACCCCCGGACTTCCCCCCACCCTCCTCCCCAGTTTCCAATAATTATCTCTTCTCTTTTCTGCATCTAAATACCTTAATCCAAACTATTAAATTTCCTTTTTAATATCCTTTGTCAAATTATATTACAAGTGCTAGTCCAATCCTGCTAACTTTTTTAGAGGTTTGCAGTGCTCCTTCATATATTCTATAAAGTTAATCCACTCTTTTTCAAATTTATCGTCTTCTTGGTGTCTAATCTTCCCAGTCAATTTCGCCATTTCGGCACAGTCCATCAGTTTCAATATCCATTCTTCTTTTGATGGGGTTCGTTCTTCCTTCCATCCCTGGGCATACAACATTCTTGCTGCTGTCGTCGCATAAATAAATAGAACTTTTTTCTCCTTCAGTAATTCTTCTCCTGTTATACCTAATAGAAAAGTCTCTGGTTTTTTTAACAAAAGTTATTTTAAACATTTTTGTAACTCATTATAAATCATTTCCCAGAAGGTTTTTGCTAATTTACAGGTCTACCACATATGATAAAATGTACCTTCATTATCCTTACATTTCCAACACAAAGTAGACATTTTCTTATATATTTTTGCAAGTCTTGTAGGAGTTAAGTACCTTTGGTACATCATTTTCATATACAGTAATTCTCTTTTAATGAACAGCAAGCAGTAAATCTTAAATCCACATACCACAACTTTTCCCATGAATCAAGTTGTATATTATGACCCACATATTTTGCCCAATGTATCATTACAGATTTTACTTCATCTTTTGTCTCCCATTCCAGCAACATTTTATATATTTTTGACAGAACCTTTTCGTTATTTTCCAACAAGTCTTTTTGTAATCTTGCGAGTTCTTTCCTAAATCCCACTCCTTTATCCATTTTTAAAATGTCATTTAGCTGATGATATTGGAGCCAATCAGGTAACAAATGCCTTATATTCTCATAGTTCTTCAGTTTCAACTGATTTCCCTTCTCTACCAGCAATTCTCTATATGTTGCTCATTCTTTTTCCATATTTAATTTTTTAACTGAGAACGCTTCTAGTGGTGATATCCACCACAGGGTCTTATTTTCCAATAGATTCTTATACTTTTCCCATATAGAGTATATTGATTTTCTAACAATAAGATTAAAAAATCTTCCCGCTTTGTTTCTTAGCCACCAATAGGGATAGACAGTTTTGTCGTCCATCCGTTTTGTTGCCAGTGCTTTGTTGTCAGTGTTGAAGTCAACTGGCAGTCTAGTTGGTTTCAGCATGTGGAATGGCGCTGGTGGTGGGAGCCTTGTTCTTTGTCTGAGGCAGCAAAAGGCAGGCCCTAAATCTGACGGCTGCCTCTTTCTCAAAACCTCCTGCAAAGCTGAAAGTAAAATAGAGACAGAAACAGTAGCAAAACGTACTTGAATTGGCTCTAATAATACCCCCAAGGCCAACGTCAGAGGGAGAAAACAGTCTGAAAATTTGTTTGAAACTGAGTTTTAAGTGCTGTGGCTCCTACAAAGGACCATGAGGATTGTGGTTTTGTGCAGAGGGACAATATTCTGTATCTGAGATGGAGGCCTAATCCTTGAGCACCTGTCACAGTCCTTTTATACATAACTAGCGTGCTAAGAGGAAGGCATGCTTGGCAAATCCACACCGTGATCAACTCCCGCCCGGAAACCTATGTCCCCACTGTGGAAGGACATGTGGATCCAGAATTGGCCTCCATAGTCACTTACGGACTCACTGCTAAAACCGTGTTTATGGAAGACAATCTTACTCGGCTGCAAGTAACTGCCAAAGAAGAAGAAGAAAGAAGAAGAAGATACATAGCTAGCAGGAAGTGCCCAGCACTATCCAAAAATGAGAAGACACCAAAAAATATTGTGATTTTAAAATGGATAGTGCAATTTGTGTGTGTGCATGCAAGCACTCTCTCTCTTTCCCCAAGCCAGGACCCCAATCAATTTGGAGGTGGGAGCTAGTGTTTAAATACGCTTGATTTGGTCTGCCATCTTGATTCAACATGGTCTTTGACGTTCACCTCGGGAGTCCTTGTGCCAAGTTGGGTGACAATATCTTCGGAGGCATCCAAATCAATGTAGTTTGCACTCATTGCACCAAAAAAATGGGCAAAGTGAACACCAAATGTTGACAAAGGCCACCACTCCCACCTGGGCGTTTGGCAATGGTATCTTGAGAGGCGTCTGACTCTACAGAGAACAGGCAGGCAGACAAACGCACCATCCCTTGGGATGATATCACAATGGCCAAAACTGATTCAATGGGGACCCCTGGTGACGGAAATGTGTCTCTGCCATCAAAATATCTTACACTCCAATGTTCTCAGCAAGTACAGTGGTACCTCTGGTTACATACTTAATTCGTTCTGGAGGTCTGTTCTTAACCTGAAACTCTTCTTAACCTGAAGCACCACTTTAGCTAATGGGGCCTCCCACTGCCGCTGCGTGATTTCTGTTCTCATCCTGAAGCAAAGTTCTTAACCAGAGGTAATATTTCTGGGTTAGCGGAGTCTGTAACCTGAAGCGTATGTAACCCGAGGTACCACTGTAAATTCATATCAGAAGTGAACAAAAAGTTCAGGAAGCTGCATTGACTCCAAAGGGGGCAGGCAGGGGAGCCAAACAACAAATGAAGGAATACATTTCTAAGGACCAGCTACTGTATATGTCACAGAGTCCTGAGAAGTTTCAATGATAGGGCACAGCTGTTAGCTGAATACCATCCATACAGATCTGAACAATAAATCCACAATATTGTGTGTTGAATAATCTGTAAATGGGGAAGGAGGGAAGAGTGTATCTGAAAAATTCAAATAAACTCCAGATTCTGCCAGGCTGCACTTAGGACCTGCCTTCAAATGAGTGCCAGTGTGTCTAAACATCAGGAAAAACTTTCTGACAGTAATAGCTGTTGGGCAGTGGAATGGTCTCCCTCAGGAGGTTGTGGACTCTCCTTCCTTGGAGGTTTTAAACCAGAGGTTGTATGACTCTATGACTGTAGAGTTGGAGGGACTCTATGACCCTATTGAGTCTTCTAGTCCT